AATCTAACCTTTAACCGCTATTCACACGCTACTGACAGCATGCTGTGTGGGTGTTTTTGAGGGGGATGGAAATGCATTTAAAGGCTGAATCTCTATTCCACTGATCTAGATGTAACTGTCTTCCCCGTAGCTTTGGTTTCTTAAACTAAAGAATGTGTTTGTACCTCACAGCATGTAGTCCACCTGCTGTTAAACTGCTAAGAACCAGGGAAAGCAGGAATACTGGGGCTTTACATTGTCCCAAATTTTTAAAAAAAAGGCAGCAGCATAGGTCGAGTTTAATTGTACGTGTGATCTAGAGAAGACGACTCATTTTCATGTACTATAATAAAAACTCATTAGTCAGAATAACATCTCTAGTGGCGCTTTCTGTACAGTTTTCAAAGTACAGCCCCCTGCCACTGTATTTGCCAGCGTTCCTTCTGTTACTGCCTCATCAGACTTTTTGTCAAACATCCACCTTTGTCTTACAGGCAGACATGACAGATGGAATCATTTTAAATCAGTACATTTAAATAACAGGTTTTGACAACAATGGTCTCCTTTCAATATAACAATACTGAAGATCCCCACTACCCACTTTCAGCTGTTACTTTGCAAGTTTGTGTTTTTAATCCTTTTAAACCATTATATTTCCAAGATTTCTTCTCAAGTGGGACTAAAAAAATACTGAATTCATGACAAAAATGTATGAAGAACTTGAATACATACTTCAGATGTAACTGCTTACTAGAAGTTGGACTTACATGAATCATACACATCTCTGTCAATGAGGTTTGGATGCAGATAATGTCCAACTGTTGAAAAGCATATTAAAGTATTTTAAAGATGTTGTTGATGCTAGTTTGTTCTTCCAGTTTAAGCCTTACTGCAAGGCCAAGTGAAGAGAAAGAATATGTGAGAATTGAAGGTGTATGTAACCAAAGACTGAAGCAGTCAGTGTACCTGCCTCGCCCTAACTAGGACATGTTTCAGATTACTTACTCGAGTTACAAAAAACCAGGCTACTTTTTGCATGACTTGGGAAGTAAATTATAAACTATGCCGTCATTCCGGTAAGTTGTGAAAAAAGTGCTTGCTTTGGTCGTTCATTATTTTCACTGACACTTTTATTGTATAATAATATTCTTAAATTAAGCTTAACCCTCGTCTTACTAGTTTATGCTTTTCATCATACCATCAAAGGGGTTTTATTCTGTCATTTAAATGTACATTCCTCATTCAATATGGGCCTATTGACTCCATGAAACTTCTGTTTCAGACACAAGCACACATTTCTTTATGTGTGCTTTGTCTATTTTAGTTTTACACAATCTGCAAAATGACTGAGTTTCTTTGTGAACTTCCTTCCTTTTTTTTTCTGATGACAAAACATATTTATTCTCAAAGCAGTGTAAGTTTACAATTTGCTCTACTGTTGTTTTGTGACGGTGGTTTATTTCCATTTAGTAATCCTTATGTAATGAGGCTTATGTGTTTGATATAGAAATACAACACAATAAATCACATCCAAAGGGTTGGGAACACAAAGACGAGTGAAATACATGAAAAGAATGCATGAAAATTCAACTACTTAAACAAACAAGGCTTTAACCAAAACTGACCTTGAAAGCAAGGCCTCCGGTGTGTGGGAACATTTAGGGCAAAGCATTCAACTTCTGAACGGATGGGGTTAATCATTAAAAATGTAAAAAAGAGTTTATCGCCAGAAAATTATTTAAACATTATTTTAAATAGATTTTCAAGACACTTCTCAACTTCAAATGTTGTTTCTTGTTGTTGAGACTTGTATTAACAATAAATACAGAATGAAGACTTCCTCTTGGGTTCATGGAATTGTAAAGGGTATTTTAAGATGTGATAATAAAGATAAGATGTATTTATTGTAAAAAATACTGCGCTGGTAGAACATGGCTTCACACCCCTCGATTGAAACATGTATTTTGTTGGCCTGCTGCCTCTAACTGTTTAAGAGACACACTCTTATCTCCATTCACCTCCACTGCACTGACGGTATGTTGACTAATGTAAACATGCCCTTGCTTGCTTTTTACAATCCACCCTTTACCCCCTTCCTACACACACACACACGCGCACACACATGCGCACACACACACACACACACACACACACACACACACACACACACACACACACACACACACACACACACTGTACACACATCCTGATTTTAGCCAAGGTAAAGGTACTAAAATATGATATGTTCAAATTGTTTCGCAACAGTTGTCAAACAATTTGTGATTTATAGGATTTGTTAATCTGCTTACTAAACTTAACCGGAGGGAAACTGGCGCAGCTTTCCTCTGTTGGAATCTTTCAGCAGACACCACACGGCTGTATTGTTCGCCGTGAAACATTCCAGCGTATTACCCACAGCTTACAATGATAAGCGTTCTTCTGTTATTTCCTGTAGTAGCTTTCCATCACACCTGGTCCTATTCAGTCGGCTTTGATGGTAGTCGCACTTAAGGGATGATTTTGTCAGTTGTTAATGTGATGACTCAGAAGTTTACAATTGTTCTTCTTTGCTTGTTCAGTCAGTGGCAGTGGCTAAACATCTTTTAGCTGTAGCTTGAATTGAATTGGCCATTATTCTAATAATGGAAACATGTATCCTCTTTGCTGTTCAAGTGTGATGATTTTGGGCTACTTGTATTTTACGTCATTGTAAACGTAACATCTTTGATCCGCCAAAGTCAGCAACATGAAGACATCATAATAAATGTATCGTGGCCATGTTATCGGCATTTTTTTCACTGTCAGAACTTAGTCCTTTTCTATGTGCTGACTTTTTTTGTGAGATTGTAGAAATTCCACAAATTCTGACAACCCTCACATTACTCCAAACCAGGGGGGTCAGACTTAAATACACAGTGGGTCAAAATAAAAAAATGGGTACTAGTCGAGGGCCGGACTGGTTCAATGTTTATTGCAAAACGTATTGAAATGAACTTATTGCACATATTAAACCTGGAACTAACAAAGCTTAAATTATTGCCTATAAAAACAACATGAATCATTAAATAATCAGTTGCATTCATTTCTTATGGCTCTATCTGCAGCTTTTCCGGAGTCATTTCTTATGATTACATTTTTCCACAGGCCAACAACAGCTTCAACAAAATCAATTCCCCTCAAAGAAAAAAACAAACATGCTCTGTCGCAAGAAAGAAAGTGCAAAAGGGAACATCCATGTAAACTCAGTGTGCTGCTCGGTGATGCACACTAAGCCAGATACTTGGCATCTCGTCTCGGGTGCAAGTTCATCAACGTTTGGGCTCAGGCTCTGAGCTGAGGAAACCCTCAGGATGGAGTGAAGGTGTGCGTGCAATATACCGGCGGGACAGATCTAATAGTAATTAGAAATGTTCCTGCGGGCCGAAATTAAATCTTAAAGCACTTATGTAAGCACGCTCACACACACATTATTTATTAGAGATGAACCCGCCAACACTTGCGAGGTACAAGCCTGCACATGAGCCACAGATCAGGTTATCATAGTTATAGATCCGGCCTGCTTTTTCTGGGATGACTTCAAACTACCGTTGCCTTTGTTTCACCTCGCTCTAGTTTGTCTTCTGCGCTCTTCCTCTAAAACTCTTTTAAACACACACTTCTTGCTTTTTTCCTTTTAAATGTTGTCTTTAACATATTGTGAAAAGTTATTTATTGTTTATGAAACTGCAGAATTCCCCTCTGTTACATTGGTTCGCTTTCAGTTCTCTCTTCTCTCATAACAGTTTCTTGTTTTCTCCCTCGTGTGAATGTGTGTGTTTAGTCTCTTGGACAACTAGCAGAAAAGGGCTTTTGAGACAATGTCATGCTCATGGATGTATAAAGGGAACGGTCATGCTAAAGTAGCATGTCTCGCTGGTGTTAGCATATGCCTCATCTGAGTTTTTATCACACAGAGGTTGCTGGGATACTTTGTCACACTCCACATCTCACAACTAACTCAGTACTGACGCGAGGCAGCACTCGGTGTGTGAGTTCAATGCTGTGCAGTATGCAGAATGATCTGATAGGCTAACTTTGGGTTGATTTTCTAACCATGACATTGACCAAGGATTATTCTCCTTTGTTTAAGATTGGGCCATAATTTCTATCAAATACAACATTATGCTAGGGCTGCACTATATGTGGACAAAAGGTTGAATATAGCGAGAATTATAGTTATTGTGATAAAATATAAATGTGTACTCAGTTCTGCCTTTCTGCTGTGCAGTTTGCAGTATACCTGTAAATGTTATCATTTTGATTTGGAGACAGGACTTTAAGCTCTTTAAAATGTTTTAAATAGTGAATTAGATGGTCAACCTCAGATCTTTTTCATCACGGTTTAAAATCTTAAAAGATCATGTGATTTTTTTTCTTGCCTAGGGTATGTCTTAATTTAATTATTTTCTTTAAGTGTGCCAAATTCACAAGAAACAAAAGTCACATTCTTAAAAAGCTAAATGATCTTTTATGAATGAGCCCCTTTGCACATTCCTTTTTGTCTGTTTTTATAATATGAAAACACAGGAATATGTATACATTACTCTAAGTAAGTATTTGATCAACAGTTCTTCTTTAAATTAAACAGAACCTCTTAAATGGCATGTCTTTTTAAGTGTGAAGTTAAATTAAAGACCTATATTAGCGAGTCCATCATGACTTGGCAGTTTGCCTAGGCTTGCCTGGCTTCATGGTTTTCTTTCTGTCCTTTCTAAAAGTACAGGCGACCTTTATACTGTATGTGGAAGACCTAATTGGAACTCTTACCGTCTCCCTAAAGCCATATTTCACCTAAGAATCTGAGATTTAATGAACACATCAGTCATACGATACACACTAACTTTTGTTTGTGATTAAATGCTGTCTGTCAAATTAACTTATGTCTCGCCTCCTCCTCCTTCCTTTGCCTCCTCCCCCTTCTCTTCTTCTCTTTCCTTTCTTCTACCTCCTCCTTCCCCCTATCTCTTGCCCCTTCTACACAGATGCTCCCAGCCGCCCAGCTTGACAGGAGTGATGGGATGTGTCAGCTAGGTATTACACCTATCCCAACATTTTACAATTAAAACAAATTAAATTACTTTTGGAAAAAATAAATATAAGGCTAGGTATCATTGCCTTTTACATTATTTTGTGTCAAGTCTTTACGGGCCTTTTCTTTTACCATGAACAATCAATAATTAATTAACGGAGTCAACGGTCTCGGACTAAATGTTTTCTTGAAATGTTTACATCTTGTCAGATAGTAAATAATTAAGTTAAAGTAACAGTTACTCTTGCTGTTTGATTTTTGTTTTTTTTATCAAATGGTAAGACGTTTTTTTAATTTACAGTAGATTTGGTAATGTGGGTCTTATTTTGGCCAATATACCTAAAAGACGTAATTGGTTGTAGACACAAGCACTCTGCAAACACTTTTAAAAGTATGTTAAGCACAAATGATCAGAGTATGAAAAGCAATGGATGTCATACTCCTCTCCTACCATCTAAGCAGGCGTATAATGGTAAATGAGAAAATGATGATCTAACAAACAAGCACATGGTTACTTAGTTTGTGTTTTGTGAAGCGTTTGCTTAATTTCTTAGTATGATAGATATATTACCTTTCATGTAATAAACTCGCTTTGCTTTGGTGCCCAGGGGTATGAAGGAAACCGGATCCATAGGTCGCCTGTCAAAGAATATTTACGTAAAGGCCAAGGTCAACATCTGAAGGCCTCAGTGATCCTTTAGAACTTTATTTTCAGTTTCAGCACCTCTTCTCAATAGAACCCTGATGTTCTTGTGTCTTTGTGTCACTTTATATCAGCAATGCTCACTTAATCCAGTGTGTGGCAAAATATGTATTCCAACTTTCTCATATTTCTGGTTCTAATACGTTTGGTAACTGACAGTTAGTGATAGATTGAACAAGAGGCACTGACTGTTACAAAGAGATTGCCAGCGTCAGCCAAAGGTCAGGTGTCGGATAATGCTACATAACTTACGGTTTGTCTTACACAAAACACACACCATGAGGAACTAGACTATAGTGCTCCATCCCTTCTAGGACAAACGTACTCCTCTCCACCAAACAGCCGTCCATGGTTCACTCTTTTCCAACTCCTTGCATTATTTCATCTCTCTGTGAATTAGCTTTCTCCTCCGTTCTCAAACCTGTTGGGGACATTGATTAAAACATAAACCTTGACACTTTTATTTGAAAGAGAACAAATGATTTAGCAATCATCTTTTTTATTATTATTTAAGGATTGTTGTAGAGCGGCAACTAACAATTACTTTTAGGATGAATTATTCTGCAGATTCATTATTTGATCATTCTGCAAATAAAAGTCTGTAAAATGTCAGTTAATACAAACACTAAGACCATTATTAATATTTGTATGACATTAAAGCAAATCCATTAATCTTCACAATTGAGAAGCTAGAACTAAAACAACTTTTGGCAATTTTGGTTAAACATACATGATTAATCAATTCTCAAACTATTTGATAACATGTTTAAGTTCTACATTGATTCATTAACCACAGTAGTTAAGTTATGAGAGCTTAAACTTTTTTATAATCTACCCACCGACAAACAACCACCAAACCGACCAGGAAGTAGAAAATACCTCTCTACCACTTCTAAGACAAACTGACATCATCTTTCTTGCCTTTCAATCATCTTCATCTATAATCACTCTGTTCATCCTTTCCATCAAACATGTGTTCATCACTATTTGATGCGGCATATTGAGTTCTCTCTTTCCTTCATATATGGTCAATTGTTACCGTTAACATACTTTTGTCAATCAAAATAGACGTGACAAAAACAACGAGAGCTGACATAAGTTTCTAATCGGCAAGAAGTGCGGCCTGGCAGCCTCTCAGGATTAGAATATTAGAGCCCATAAAGAAATACATCGAGATATTAATCTCTGTTTGTATGTCTTTCCATTTCCAAGCAGATGAGGCAGTCCTCTGCGATGTAATCGGACTGAAGGATTCATCTACTGCATTCACACCGGAGCGAGACAAAAGAGGGACAGAGGAGGAGAAGGACACGAGGATGGGTGTGGGACAGAACACCACTTCTAAGTCCATGGACAGCAGCAGTGAGGGAGGAAAACTTGAAGAGGAGAGCAAGCATGGCACAGATTTCTACCCTATTCCGGTAATCAAACGTGTTATTTGGATGTTTATAATATTATAAAACACTAAGACAAAACCATGAACGGGTCTAGTGGCTGGACACATGCCGCGTTTTTGTGCTTAAATCCTTTGTTTCCAATGAAGATGTAGAGAAGGGCCAATGTCGCGCTGAGTTAACGCAGCAGAACACACCGCTTGTCGTGACGAGGAACAACCAATCGCAACTGCCGGATACATTTCCTTTCTTTAGTGAACGTGGAGATAAGGTTATTATATTAGTTCAGGGTGACTCAAGAGTTTCGGATAAATAAATGTTGGCACAATCCAGCGTGGGAATCCAACGTTTTGAACAGGTGTTAAAAGACAGGGAAAGGCAAGCTCTAATTAAACACGTTTTTAAGACGGGTGTTGGTACCTTTTTGTTTTGTGAAAATGATAAAACAAAACCAATCAAATAAATCCAGTGAATAGAAAAACCAAAGTATATATTTTTTACTTTTTTCTGGTCTTTAATGAAAAGGCAACTTTCTCCAGAAAGACTATTAATATTGATACATTAAGTTAATTGGCTAATATTCATTTTTTTATTCCTTAAAGCTTAAATATTTTTTTCCTATTAACAATGCCTAAAAACCAGTGTGACGCCCCCTCCCTTAGTTATATGTAGGCTCTTTGTGTCATTTAGCCGATTGATTACTTTTTCCCACTTTACCGTAACCCTAACCCACAAATATGACACCTGCAAAGAGGTCATGTCCTTTTGTATTGCAGGTTTGAGCAAAGACACACTGAGCACTGCTTGGACACTGAGGGCTGTCTAAATCACTCTAACAACGCAGTGAAGACAGGGTGCTGGCAGTTGATTTATTAGCGACTTTGCATTAGGGCTGTACCCGAATATTCGGTCGTTGGCCTACTATCCGGTTTTCAATTTCGTTATTCGGATAATCGTATTTGTTCTTTTTTTTAGGCATATATACAACTGCAACGAAAATAACAAACACAATGCAATATATATATATATCTTTTTTTAATCGTTTATTTGGCAGGGACCATGCACAGTAATGAACACTTAAAACATTCAAATGTATCAAGCGTAACAGTGCCAGATTTAGCTTTGAACTCATTTCCATCCGCAGTCCCTCAAAAAAATATCCCATTCAATTTCAAAGAACACAAATTGGGTTATTTACATTAACAAATAACTATAAAACAACAATACTGTAGAACAACAAAATTAATGCCTTGAATAAACCGAAATACATGCGTTGAAGCGCGCGCGCCGAATATTCGCTGCTGATTACTACCGAATATCCGGAGCCCGAAAAATGGTATTCGGGACAGCCCTACTTTCCATACCTGCATGTCTTCGCATCTTGTCTCTCAGGCATGAAGATATTCAAACCCATATAATGGTTATATATTCTCCGGAACGCTTTGAGTAATTCTTAGCTAATAATGACACATTCACACAAATGTCTGATATGATAAAATAATCATCTGATGATGTTTTTGACATACAAGGATTTAATCTCCAACTCTGACTGTTTTTTCTAGTTTCTTTGTTCATTAGACTTTAGAGTCGACAGCTTAGCACACAGTCGGACCCTGACACTCTTTATTTTGAATCTTTTGTTGTGGTTCTGCAGGTCTTGCAGCATTTTGTCTATACTGCCAGTATCTGCAGTCTTTCTTAATGCATTGTAATTATGCATGTCTGTTTATGTGTTAAGGTGGTGGTTAACGGCGTGGGCGGGGCCAGTGGAGACCAGGATACTGAGAACACAGAGCTGATGGCCATCTACACTAAAGATAATCAAGGAGCAGAGAAGGTAACTGGAGTTAGAAAATGAAGAAGTGAAACACACGATCCTCACATGTTTTTATTCATCCAAAGTGCTGTTTTACCCCAAAATAACCCTCTACAGATAGTCACATGGTTCCAAAGCTTACTTGCAATCGCACTTTCAATGGCTTTCCATTTCCTTCCTGATCTTTCCCCAACATTTTAAAGATGTAATCCCTCAGATTTCAGTCCTAGTGAGTTTATAACTTGTGGTTACTGTAGTAACATCAAGTGTGTTTTTCAGCCCACACAAACTTGAGCAGCTTTTCTTTAGAAAATGCAACAGAAAATCAGCTGGCGTGTCCGTTTACATTGCAACTAAACAAACGCACACTGTTATTAAGGGAGTCAGAGTAGCATCCCACCCAACAGCAGAGCACAACTCTCCAACAGCTCACTGTGGCTTCTCCTCCTTTATTCATGTTTTTGACGAATTATTGAAAGTGGTTAGTTTGTATAATAATATGTAATATCTCGGATGGTATATTTCACTATTTACCTCATTCTTAGTATTCAAAGCAGGGAAAGTGGAGGCTGTGGCTCAGTGGAAAGTGTGCTGGACTTCGAATCAGGTGATGGCATGTTCGAATCCCACTGCAGTCAGCATGTCGTTGTGTCCCTGGGCAAGACACTTCACCCCAAATTGCTCCTGTGGGGATTGTCCACAGAATGTATGTTAGTCGCTTTGGATAAAAGCGTCTAACAAATGACATGTAATGGAAACACAAACATCTGCAGGCACAGATTCTCAAACAGTCTCCGTGTGACGTTCCCTCTTTTCCCCTGTCACTGTGACTGTGCATTTTTCTTTTCTAATGGATTCATGTGTTGCATTTTCTTATTTTTTTCTGTCACTTTCCTGTTTAGTTTTACATTCATAAAAAAATCAGCTAAGATGTGCTTTTTTTCTCATAAACACTTGACATGAACAGTCTGAAGTGTTACAGGAAAAATTAAACATGTTAAAAACGTTTTGAATTGACATGACATCGATCTTATTTCTTTGTGTGTGTAGAGTTCAATGTCTGAGACGTTGGAAAGCACAGACAGTGTTGACGCACGGAGGATGGATATGATCTATACCATTGAAGACACCCCACCCTGGTACCTGTGTGTGTTCTTAGGCTTACAGGTAGATCTACTGTTTTAATTTATTTTTGTGTCATGGCTCATTTGCAGTGTCTAATGTCAGTCATCTACTGTAAAGGCGAAGGTGTCTCACGATATGAGAGCGAAAACATGCACTCACTCGTCCTGTACAGTAAAATCAGGCTTTGTCAAATCCTTCACTGTGGTCGTACTTGTCACCTCAATGCAGTATTTTTCATCTGACTGTCAACAATACTTATTACACAACCGGACGTCAGACACAAAAATAGTCATATGAACACAGTAATCGTCATGCTGGACGTTCAGTGTGGTAATGTTTTCACTGTGTGATCACAATGTCTAAGGGAAAGATTCACCAAGGCTAAGCCATCCTCCAAATTAGACAGTCGTACAAAACACTTAATACTGCTTTACCTGAAGACAGTTATCACATACATTAGAAGTGTACATCTGGACACAAATCCACTCATTGTAGAATATTTTGGCTTGATACTGCTCTGAATGTTCTGGCTCAAAATGCCAAAGAACATATATTTTCCTGTCTGTTGAGACAGATTAGCAAAGGGTGATGGGTATATATATCGCTGGTGGCGAAGTCGTTAGGGACTTGGCAACTGGAAAACCAGTTCAAGTCCCGGCAAGACCAAGTACTACCGAGGTGTCCCTGAGCAAGGCACCGTTCCCTAACTGCTCCCCGGGCGCCGTTCAGAATGGCAGCACACTGCTCCTAACACTAGGATGGGTCAAATGCAGAGAAACAATTTCCCCACGGGGATTAATAAAGTATATCAATATCAATACCAGTTCATTTAACACTGTTACTCACCTTCATTTTTCACAACTATATTAATTGGATATAAATGTAGATACAAATGTAGATATATCTTAATTTAAACACATTGCCCAAATATACTAATGATTCAGTGTTTTTTCAACTATGGAATATGTAACTTATACAGCCGATAACAAACAATAAATGCAAAATTGTTAAGGAGAGAAGCATACATGTGAATCTGCCTGCTTCTTTGTTCAGTTTTTTCTTAGTTGAGCAAGATTTCTTTAGATTCAGGGGTTTCACCTACACAAGGCAGTCAGGGTGGGTAAGGTGGATGAAGATTAGACCGGGAGCAGTATTATGGAGACATAGTAACAGTCATGCTGATGGCAATGAAAGAATGGTGATCAGAGGGCTATGTATTACAGGGAATTGTAAAAACAATGTAAGTGAGTCAGCCTGTTAATGCTGGTTTTCTCATAGTTAGGTTTTTTCAGGTGATTTCATCAAAAGGTGAAACTCCTTCATATTTCTCCTGATATACCAAATGAGCTGTTAAAGAACAAAATGGATGGACCTTTTCAGGACAAACCCCCTAAAAGATTCAAATCAAGCCAGAGGGTCACCATTGGTTCTATTAAAGTAATATGCAGGGGTGCACATAACTTTTTTGCCCTGGTTCTCAAAGGAGCACCTGGAGATGTTGCTTGGTACTCATCCTTAAAATGAAATAAATAAACCGGTCTTTATTTGTCAGACACACAGCACAGAACATGCAGAGGTGAACACAGAACACACATGCAGAGGCGAACACAAGACAACATTAGCACGACCAGTAATCCTACAAGCTGTCATCACTACCCTCCTGACTGTTCTCCTCACTGTCTTCCTCTCTGTCAGACATGGTAGCTGATGATGTAGGCCTACTACTTTCTCTCTGGTTGAGTCTGCGATTAGCTGCTTGCATCCACAAGTCAACAGCTGGGTTTGGGTCAAAAGTCCAGTTTTAAAGGATATTTGTGGTTGCTGTCCTATAGTATACATTGGAATGATTTCAAACCTGTTTATCCCAATAATTATAAAGGAGTGCCTTGGAAATATGTGTTTACATAAATTGTGACCAAACCGTTTGAACTTAGACTAAAGTGAACTATCTAAACACTCAGAGTACCTCACTGAGCTGTAGTTATCAGCCTCTCAGTCTGACTGGAGAGGACTCTCCCTCCACATTATTGTAGAAACATCTTCTTCTTCTTCCGTTAGAGCAGCTAGCACCAGATTCTAATAACAACAGCGCCGGTACCGGTGCACCCTCCCTCTCTCCCACGCTCACTCGCATTTTGGCTGTGAGCTGCGGGCGCCAGATAAGCCAACATCCCCCATTTTCATCACTTAACAGCGCCCATCGTACAGGGCAAATGAAACGTGTAACCGGGGTGAAAAGGGTGTTACATTTACTTAATTATGAATGTTGTTACATCAAGGCCGAAAATTAGGATGAGCCCCAACGGTCAAAAATGTTTTTTTCCCTCCCAGAACTACCAGCCACAGATCTGGCGCCCTAGGCGAAAATCAACGCCAGTGCGACGGGCCGGCCCTGAGTTCATATGCAACTCGCAAATATCTTTCTCTCTCTCCTCTCTTCTCTCTTTTCTCTTCTCCCTTCTCTCTCCCTCTCTCTCAATGTTGGTACGCAAATGCGCCTTTTTTCAAATGACCCGGTGCTCTTTTTTTGGCCGAGGTGCGCATGCGCACCAGTTATGTGCAGCCCTGGTAATAAGGCAACATGTGAAGTGGTTTAAACATAGCTACACTGTTCAAAAAACAAATCACTTGCTATTCTCCTGGCACAATATGTGTGGCATTAATATGTTTTTAACTAAAAGGGAATCATAAGGCTATTTACAAACGGGTAGGAGTTTTCTACATTTACCTATAAGATAAGGATCTTAAAGAAAAAAGGTTTATACTCATGATTGATGTATTTTTGGAACATGCTCTATATTAAACTATGGTGTTTTTGTGCTGAGGATACAATCAGTGTCCGTAAGTACTGACTGTCACACCCCCCCGCTGACTGTGGCTTCTTGTCTTGCAGCACTACCTGACATGTTTCAGTGGAACCATCGCCGTGCCGTTTCTCCTGGCTGATGCGATGTGCGTGGGCTTCGATCAGTGGGCCATCAGCCAGCTCATTGGGACCATCTTCTTCTGCGTGGGGATCACCACCCTGCTTCAGACTACACTGGGCTGCAGGTATACTCACATCACTGTCTCTAAATACTTAGGGAAAGGCTGTCCTAAATAACAAACACCCCCAGGCATACAGTTTGTATGTACAGGTTTTCTACAATTCGTACATTGTATTCTGTCTTTCACTTCCTCACCTCCACCCTTTCTATTCTCTCCCCTTTCATCTCCCTCTCATCTCTAAGAACCACTTAAAGATGAGGGTCATTGTCGACATGAAGTACCTCTTTCTCCATCCTCCCTCTACATGTCACTTTGGAGTGGGCTTAAGTGTGTTTGTGTGCACATATTTTAGTATATGCATACACGTCCTTTTATTAGTCAGATTGAATACATATTTGTATTGTAAATATCTCACATAAATAAAGCAGTGACAGTTCTCCTGTATGCATTAAATGACAATTGTAGTTCCTTGTTTTGTTCATATGACTGCAGTTGTAAAAGAGTAGAAAGTATATCTCCCAAGAAGTAGCTTTTTGTTTCATAATTGAGACAACAGAGAAAACTTGTAGGTCCTCCCTCTGGTCTGCGGTCAAATTCATTTTGACCGCAGACCAGAGGGAGGACCTACAAGTTCAATGATTGCGTGACTGGACAAGCTATAATCAATTAAACACACAGTCACATGTCTTTTTTGTTGCACCATATTAACCAAGAAGGAAGTAGCCTGCTTGAAGCCATACCAGGAACTCTTCATTTTACTCAGTTCTTCCAAGATTAATTACAATCGGTTGAATAAGCACCTGCCTGAAAATATTTCCCATAATATTCACCCCTCACATGTTCCTCCTCCCTTCTTCTGTCATGGTTCCCTCTCAGTACTTTTCCTACCTTTGATGTTTTTTGAGTCATTTTCACCCTACACAAACCCAAACAGACAGATACTCGCTGTTCTTTTTGACACCAACTCCATGTCCTCGACTGGTGCCTCCATAAATGATAAATGGTCTGCAAGCATTGTCTTATCTTGTTTTTGTGAAGTCGATGTGCAGCATGCTGTCATAGCAACAAACGGGACATTGTATGATCTCTGGCGGTCTTTCTCTTGGTCTTTTCCTTGCTTTCTGACACGAGTCAGACTCATTGGGAACAAGCAGCTTTACAAAAGGGTTATAATTACACGCACACAACAATAGGTCCATCCCAATGTGATTTTTATCATGTTTTATTTGAAAATACATAACATTTGGAAATCAGTTTGTAGTCGGCGGACAGGTTAAACTTCAAATAAGCAGGTGTACTAAATACTATATCTTCACTTCCTCTTTCTTAAGAACGTAAATGTTCTTGATCCCTTTTTTTCAACTTATTCACAGCCTTTATAGATGTTCATTGCATTTGAACTTCTATGACCTCATAGGAGTTTTTGTATTATTCTCTGTCGTTTGATCTTTTTTGATATCCCTATACTGCCACCACCGCTTATTACAGTTCATTAGAGGTCAGCCTTACTATAGAATGTTGCGGACTAGTTTCTGGATCTTTAAGACGGTTACAGCAAATATATCATGTACTTTAGTGTGTGGTGGGTGTGGGATGGTTTGAGTGAAAAGAGGAAGATAAAAAGGGAAGGAGAACATTCATTTTGTGATATCAATCATTATTCTTCCTACCGGATCATGTGATCTCACATGATCCAGACAAAAGGTCAGGGTTATTCTTACTTCACATAAGTTCATCAACTGTGTATCCCACAATGATGACTCACCTGAAATGATGTCGCCCAGTGACCCTGCTTTCTACACTTGATTTAAACACTCCTTTGTTATAAGTTTAAGTGAATATACATGTTTTTTTTAACAGTGCTTTCCTTTGTTTAGGTTGCCTTTGTTTCAGGCCAGTGCTTTTGCCTTCCTTGCACCAGCCAGAGCAATCCTGTCACTGGACAAATGGAAGTGTAATAACACAGGAGGTAACTAAAGAGTTTTGTCAATACAAATAACATTAAACGGATTGAAATTATTTTTAGATCTGTTTGTTGCTGGCAAAACGGATTATCGAGCTATCATTTAAAAATGTAAATAGACCAAATGGTTAGAAGAATTGTCTGCATGTATTTCCTTTTTTTTTTTTTAAAGTATGTTGTCCCTTTTGGTATACTGGGTCTGTTGATTACATTTTGAGAATAATGATGATAGGAACCGATGTATTTCATGTCTACCTCGGTCTGCTTTGTGAGGGTAGATATGATAAAAACATATTATACATGTTATTTGATCTTTGTTTACATTGATCCCAAATGTTGTCAGCATCAAAGCTTGCAGGGACTGTAGGGAATACATACGTATATAGTGAGCTAATGAAGTTCTCCCCTTTTCTAATTATTCATCTCCCTGTCTTTTCCATCATCAGAGGTTCCACTATTCAACAGCACAGAGCTTCTGAACACAGAGCACATCTGGCACCCCAGGATACGAGAGGTGAGCGAAAGACAAATTAAAGAATTTAAAATATGTTGTTGTTCATGAGTAAAGGAAACTGAAGTCAAGAAAATATGAGAGAAAGATGTCAGTCAGCTTAATAACTCCTTATGGACATTTTGACACAACTATGGGTAAACTAGGAGAGGGCACTCTGTACAGTTCAGGATGGACTGTGTGTACTGTGTGTATGCATGACAGTGGAAAGATAAGAGACAATATGCAGGTTACATTAACATCAACAGTAACTATAATAGGAGCCTGAGAAGATGTGTTCTGTTGTAGTCAGCGCTTGGTTAACTTCGTCATTTGCTAGTGATACATACGCAGATACAAATCTTCACTCATTCATAATAATCTACTACTTGTTTTTTTTTTACAAATAATGGTTTGGTCTATAAATTAGTGTAAAAAAACATCCCAGTTTCTCCAAGTCTTGAGATGTTTTGAAAAATCAAATACATTTGATTTAAAATGATATAAAACGCAGAAAAGCAGGTCCTCTGTGTTTTAAAGGTTGAAACAGTACTTTCTGCTACTTAAGCATGAATAATGACCAATTATTTTGTTATCATCAAAATAGACAACAATGGATGTTTTAAACAGGATATTTAAAAAAAATTCTCTTATAACTTATATATTGTTATGTATCTCATATGGCAGAGTTTAAATGTTTGTTTGTCTGTGAAGTCAAATCTCTACGTGAGCGGATGATAAAGCGGTCTATTCTAAATATCAGATCCCATTCTGTATGGCTTCAGGGTGTAGTTTCCGTGAAAGAAGCTGTTAATTTGTATTAACCTTTTTCCGTTAGCGTAAGCCATTTGAGCAATTGATTTTTATGTGACGCATGAATGAGACTTAACTCAATCCGGCCAAATACAATTGTTCAATGGTCTGAGGGCAGGATGTGATAAAAAGTGAGCGGAGTGAACACAAAGAAGGATTAAGACAGGACTAACAGGATTTTGATTCTGTAACCTCATCTCCTCCAACCAAGAAAACAATGGCTCCTTAAATGTGATTTCCCAGGATTTCTTTAAGGATTTCTTTTTTTGGGTTACACTTTAATAACAAATCCAACATGCTCATTCTGATTTATTTGCTGCTTTTTGTTTTTATTAATACATTTTGTTCATAATGATGTATACATCTGTCTCTATAATTTCAATGTTCTGCCAGATCCAAGGGGCTATCATCGTGTCATCTTTGATCGAGGTGTGTATCGGAGCGCTGGGTCTGCCTGGGCTCCTGCTGAGATTCATCGGACCTCTGACCATCACCCCGACCGTGACGCTCATCGGCCTGTCTGGGTTCCAGGCTGCGGGGGAGAGGGCCGGAAAACACTGGGGCATCGCTATGCTGTAGGTTCAGACTTTACACAAAGAAATGCACATTCAGGTGTCAAAAGACGTCCTAATAGTGACCCTCATCTGGGAATATTAGTGATCCCTTTATGTGTTCAGTACATACTGAGGATACAGATGGTAGTTAGTGGAAATATTCAGGAACACACTAAATATACCGACGATCTGCTATAGTAGACAATGCTGTAGGAATGCTAAGTGTCTATTAATACATGTTGTCACCATTGGAAACTCGGCACTCCTACATCCATTTTCCCAATTTCAGAACTTAACTGACAGCTTTTTACATCAAAATACTTTATGCTACATATTTTGAGTGTTGTCTTAAGCATTTGTACAAATATGAGTATTATATCTGCATGGTAGGCTGTAGCTCAGTGACTGATTTACAGTCAAATAAACTTTCGAGTGCTCTGCCTTTACAAAGAATATGTACAGTTAGAAATAGAGCTGATCAGGAGACATAAAGAAAGCGTTTGTTTTTCCTTAAGGATAGAACATACTGTATGATGTAAAGAAACAGAGGATTGATTCATGGGGGAAGATCCACTTCAAAGCTGTGATATTCACGTGTTGTGACATCAGTTCTTGCTGTTTTGCACTGTAGCCGGGGGCCTCCTCGTTTGGCTCCACAGGGAGAGGGGATATGTGCCTGTAATTGCCACTGATTTGCTTTTTCACCGGCAGTTAGGATAATGGATTGGCTTTGAAGCCTCTGGGGTCTGTGTTGGACGTAGATGTCTGGAACATGTTAGCACAGGATAAGCTTCCTCACAGGAGAATATTGTGTTGACTAGACAAAATAACAAGTTCATGTTTCTGTCTGCAGGACTATCTTCTTGGTGCTGCTCTTCTCTCAATATGCCAGAAATGTTCACTTCCCTCTGCCAGTCTACAAGCACAAGAAAGGCTGGACTTTCTACAGGCTGCAGGTCTTCAAAATGTTCCCTGTAAGTACATAACCCCTCCTACAGTTACATCAGGGCCGCCCCTGGCCAACTTGTGGCCCCACGCAAAATTGTGTGATGAGGCCCTCTGTGTCGCGAGCGTCGATGGGGGGGGGGTGCTAGTGGAGCACGTGCGTGAGCGCCGGAGCCTCTGAACTGTTGCGCTTCTGATGAGGCTCCCTCCGCAAGATGAGGCCCACGCCACGAGGTGAGGCCCCACGCAGTCTGTGTGATCTGCGTGTAGGGAGGGGTGGGCCTGAGTTACATGCATACTTTAGCTTGTTGCCTAATGCCTCTTGACTGGTAAATGTTCACGTTAGATGAGTTTATTTATTAGCATCTTCCCCCCTTGCCCTCACTAATAACTGAGTTCCCCTCTTAGTCAAGAATATTCAACAGAGCTAATTTAATTCTCCCTTGGAGCAGGTGCAAGTATTTCTGTCTGCATGCGTATGTGCAGTATATGAACCACCAGTCCTCTCCTGCCATCTGGTGACACATTTAAATATAAACTCTCTTAAATTCAGTTATCTATTAGTCTGATGTATGCACACAAACATACACATTTAATTTACCATAGTTGAAATGTGCTGGAAAAGCTTAAAAAGTGCTTAGTTTTTTTACTTTGGAAAAGCTGTAAATCTGCAAACAACTTAAATAAAAATGTTCTCGCTGTTATGAGTTAAATCAATTAAATTATTAAAGTTTTAAGTCATGGTAAAGTTAAAGATAGAGCATCTTTATTTTCAGTATTTTTAAACGTTATATTAGTCTTATATAGTTTGACATTAAACCAAACACTGTTCTAGATTGGAATACCATATTTTACCAATAGGTGTCGCACTTTTTTTACCCAGCAGCTGTTTTTACAGGAAGCGAAAAGTGCTTTTTTTAAATGTGTTCCTCAAAAATATGAATTGAGATATATATATATATATTGGTGTTGCATGTACACAAATTGGTGCAGGACTCAAATGAATAAATAGTTTTTATTTATTTAACTTTATCTGCAATATGAATATCTAATAAGCGTTGTTTCTTTGACCCAGATCATAATGGCCATCCTCGTGTCATGGCTGCTGTGTTTCATTTTCACTGTGACGGACGTTTTCCCGCCGGAAGTAGACAAATACGGTTACCAAGCCCGCACAGACGCGCGTCAAGGAATCGTCCAAGCCGCCCCGTGGTTTAAGATACCGTACCCATGTAAGTGTTTGTGAGGAGGAACAGATTGTTGGTGTTGTGCTGTGTTCGACAATTTTGAGAAGAAAATGGATTGAAAAAGAAATCTGGTAATCGATTTTCCAAGTCTTATCGAAATACTTTTCTCTCCTTAAGAACATGTGAAAATGCTTTAACTATGATATATATAAACAAGTATATATCACAGGACTCTACTGACAGAAACCAATAAATAGAACCAAATGTAAAATAGTTGGAGGGAAGGCCGATCATAGTGTTGTAAATCATACCATAATGAATGCAGCTGTTTCTCCTCTCTGACCCACTCTGTGTTTTACCTCCACAGTCCAGTGGGGCTTCCCGACAGTAACGGCTGCAGGTGTGATCGGCATGATGAGTGCTGTGGTGGCCAGCATCATCGAATCCATCGGAGATTACTACGCCTGCGCACGTCTCTCCTGTGCTCCTCCACCCCCCATCCACGCCATCAATAGGTGACCCTTCAATTCAAATAGTCTCTGTTCATCATTGTAACAATTGAGTTTGTTTGGAAATCAAGTGAAATTAAAATACTTTCATTGTTTTCTATGTAGGGGGATATTTGTGGAGGGGATCTCCTGTGTGCTGGATGGTGTTTTCGGGACAGGAAATGGCTCCACCTCCTCCAGTCCGAATATAGGTGTTCTTGGAATCACAAAGGTAACAGTGTTTGCTCACTGCAATTAATAATGTTATTTATTTACTGTGATGGTGTATTTGTGTAAAATAAATAAAAAGGAGCTGAGAGGGTAAGTGAAAAATATAAAGAAAGACAAATAATGTTCAACTGTTTTAACCCTAACCCTTTTCAACGGAAAAAATACCTGATTTGCTGATTCTCTTAAATGTGAAGATATTTTCCTTTTCCACTGTTAAAATGAAATATGATCGGGTTTTGGGTGTTGGTTTGACAAAATGTTTGCTCGGGCTCTAGGAAGTTGTCATGGGCATTTTTCACAATTCTCTCATTTATAGATTACATTTTAGTCACATGAATTCATAATGAGAACAGTCGTTATCGTTTCAGCCCTACATTGCAATAAAAAATCTCAAAGTTCCTCACACTGATCCTTACCCATTAGCCCTTCTTACAAAGTGTGATTCTGTTAAAGTAGAGGTACAAATACACTGATGCTTCAAAATCATGCCCTGGAAACATCCGTCACTTAAGGCCCTGTCACACTGTCCCGAAATTGACACCCGATGGACACACGAATATGGAATTGTGAATTTCGCACGAAGATGGCCCCGAACCACACACGAAGGCAACATTTACATTACATTTAAGACATACAACTGCAATGAAAGTGCCAAAAACAATTATGTTACAGTACTATGATACTGTAGTGATATCTTCAGACTTTGTTCTTTACTTTATCCGTCGTTATATGTAGAAAATATTACGTTTTCTCCGTAATGTTGTTTCCATAACAACAACTTCCTGTCAACTGTCCTTCAAAATAATATATTATATCCTTTTTAGTTTCACAGAACACAAATTGGGTTATTTACATAATATATTTACATGATTTTGTTGTGCAATAAAACAACCCGATGGACACACGATAAAGGAAATGTTCAAATTCGGCTGTGATCGTAGCAACATCGGGCCATTCGTGAGGGCATCTTAAACCATCGTATGACCGCCGGTGGAGTTTCTCAGGCTCCGGCAGCAACTTCGTGAGCGGTGGCAAAATCTTTGGCATGCCAAAAAATTGCCGAAGGACCTTGCGAAGGTTCATTTTCGTGTTGAATTCGTGTGTCAATTGTGCCCTTCGTAAGGCCATCGTGAGGGCATCTTGTTATCATCGGTGCCATCGGGCATTCGCCCCGATCAGAGTGAGGGTGAATGCACCGATGATAACACGAAGATGACACGATTTGACAAGATGCCCTCACGAGTGCCTTACGAAGTTGCCGCTCACGAAGTTGCTGCCGGAGCCTGAGAAACTCCACCGGCGGTCATACGATGGCTTAGATGCCCTCACGAATGGCCCGATGTTGCTACGATCACAGCCGAATTTGAACATTTCCTTTTATCGTGTGTCAATTTCGGGACAGTGTGACAGGGCCTTAATACTATACATACTGTAAGGATATTGAATATTTTCATTCAGCTATTTTATAATGTTCTATAAATAACATAATGTGTAGCATCACATTACCATGTGCCTATGAACTGGATGGTGGGAGCATTATTTGTTGAATTGATATTGTAGCCCGCCCTGGCTGACCTGTCTTTGCTCCCTCTGACCTCTGATTTCTGATTGGTCTCCCAGGTGGGCAGCAGACGTGTGATTCAGTATGGAGCTGCCATGATGGTGCTGCTGGGGCTCGTGGGTAAATTCAGCGCCCTGTTTGCCTCCCTGCCCGACCCCGTCCTGGGAGCTCTGTTCTGCACCCTGTTTGGGATGATCACAGCCGTGGGACTCTCCAACCTGCAGTTTGTTGACCTCAACTCCTCCAGGAACCTCTTTGTTCTCGGCTTCTCCATCTTCTTCGGCCTGACGCTTCCCAGCTACCTCAAAGAGAACCCATTGGTCACCGGTAAGTCGGGGGCAGATACACAAGAAACACAATGGCCGTGTACTTAGAATTATCATGAGGGATAATTGTGACTCACATTTAGCTCAGTACCGATTTAATGGAGCATTTCAAATATTGCTCTGCACAAGATTCTCTACCCTGGACCTCTTTTGAATTATTTGTGATTAACAGGAGTAACATACTGAGTTATGACTACTGAATTATGACTGAGTAACTTTGGTTTAACACATACAGTCAGTGATAAGTGGTCAGTGAGAGAGAAAGGAAATTAACACATGCCCAAAAGGAAATGATACCGTTTCCAAACCTAACTTTGCCATACAAATCATTGAAATGTCTGGGAGTTCCCCTCGTCAGAGATGTGTAAAGGCCGACGGGTAATACTTGATTTTGAAGGGAATGTTACGATCCTGTCCGTCAAAATCCGACAGCAGCGAAAAAATCTAGCGCAACCTCTGCTTTTGTGTCTGACATTTTCAGCCATGTTTTTTTGTTACTTCTCAGCCACACTCGCATTATTGATCAGTTTCTGCTGTAAGCATTTACATTTATCACATCGTTTTTTCCCAAGTCTTGCACATCTGGACCTCCAACTGCATTCTCTTAAACATTTTGAGACATTTTCTGTCACGGTTACATTCAAACTGCTAACACTTTGTAGACTGATCCATGAATGACTTGTGAATAAACAAACCCAATAGATGCAAATACACCCAGTGAGTAGTTTCTCTGGATAAATCACTGACTGTCTTAGGAGGGAATTTACTGAACTATAACTGGTATAGTTTAAGTTAAGTTTGAGTTTGTGAGGATATTCCAAAATGTGTGTTTCTGGAACTGAAATATGACTGAAACTGAGAGACATTTAATTGTTTTTTTGAAGAGTAACTAAGCCCCTGTCTTTTTTCATAATTTGCAGGAATAGTTGGCGTAGATCAAGTGTTGAACGTGCTCCTCACCACTGCCATGTTTGTCGGAGGCTCTGTAGCCTTCGTTTTGGACAATACCATACCTGGTAAGGGGTTTCGTACTCTCTTTTTCGTACATCTGTCCAACTCAGTATTTTTAAAAGAAATGCAGCCTGAAATGATCTTTGGGCTATAAATGCAATGGCTTGATCAACTTGACAATGTGTTCATTTGACAGTTTTTTTTGTATGTAGTGCAATTCTGTGTCAAATGTCCTTTTTCATTTATATCATAAAAAGTGAACCTTTTTTATACAGTTTTTATTTTTACACGTTGAGTGAAAAGCTGGGCGTTAAAGTATGGGCTGGCTGTTTCGTGTGAACGATGGAAAAAATGTCCAGTGATTAAAATGTTTAGTCATAGCTTTATTTCAGAGCAGTTATATCTCCACAGTAAAAACTATGATTAATCTGTCTTTCTTCTCTGCTCAGGCACCGCTGAAGAGCGAGGCATCAAGAAGTTGAAGCGTGGCACTGGTGTCAGCACAGCAGAGCTGGAAGGGATGAGATCGTATGATCTGCCAGTTGGGATGGACTTTCTCCGCAGACACCCGGTCTTCAAGTACTTCCCCATCAGCCCCACCTTCCAAGGCTACCAGTGGGGGAAGCTACAGGGAGCCTGCAGGCGCAGAAAGGGACATGGGGATGCAGTGAAGGGGGGAGGGGAGGGAGGCGCAGCTCCAGGGGAGAGTGGGGTATAGCCAACAGGCTGGGGCCACAACATCCAAAATGTGGCTGAAGTTGGGGAGCAAGGGATGGTACAATAAGGTAAATGGATGGGAGAGTACAGGACTGAACGATGCAGGATTCGGGACTGTGTGTGATGCACAATCCCCCCCCCCACCCCCAGTATGTGTTTTCTTTAGCTCGTGCCAGTCTTTTCCCACTTACCACTATGCTATTTAAAGCATGCTATAGCAAGTCACAGCATGCTATAAAATATGTCACCAATGCAGAGGTTAGTTGGTGTGTGTGCATGTGTGTTTGCATTAAGAGAAAAACTTCTTTGTGCATTATTTTAATTGCACTATAATCCAGGAGGAGACAGGTGGACATCAAACATTCATGCTGAATGTTTGGATCATTACTTGCTAATTTAACAACATTATAAAACATATTTTACCGAAAACTCAGTAGATTATGTCAATCGAGGATTATGCAAAATTCCTGGTATGGATCATCCGCCTCTTAACTTGTTATGCTGCCTCATTAGAGACACATACACACACATGTGCTCACACACCTTCAGCCTCAACAAAACTAGCTTGAGCGCTACAATGCACGTTGGGTCATACAGATTGATGGGAGTTGTTTGTCAGGTGCCCTTAGCCATGCAAAGTGATTGTGAGTTTTTTATTTTTGCACTATCTGCCTCCTGAGTTCAAAAGCAGAATGTCTCTCCGCAGCTCATGCCCCCGTTTCTTCAGCTAAACCGAAGAACCGGTTCTGAACCTAAAAAGCTCTAGCACGGAGCTTGAACCAGAGTTGCGTTGGTGTGAATGAGGTATCAGAGACCTGTTCAGCACACAAAACATCCACTCATCTCGCGGTAAAGAAACTCGCATCCCCCATTTCTCTGAAGCAGTAGACGCTTCAGTTTTATCTTCACAAAACCAGTTTACATCTCTTGACAATGTGTCAATATTATGCATCAGTAACTAAAATGACTTTTCACACTTACAAAACAAATCCTTTTTGTATTACAAAACTACAAAACAAGCTCTACCCTTAAATAGTACCCCACCGACACTTTCCAAACCCACTTTACATACAGTAAGCCTGTACATGATTGTACTAGGAAGTAAAGGTGGTGGTTTTGTCTGGATATGGAGTATTTTCAAATAACAGAGGGGTTTGGGAGAGTTTAATGTTATTGCAGTTTGATGATTATTAATTTCCCTACATTCCTCCTCTTCCTATCTGCGCTCCCTCGCATGCCTCCCACTTTTATCCCTCTTTAATTAACTGCTGATGTTTGTCTCTGTCTGTTGTAGTTCAGGTTGTGGCGGTACATTTAGCTGAGTAAAGTTTAATGAGTAAAGTTTCAGAGCATCAGCAGCCTGTTACTTATTAGGCCTGAAGAGCTTGTCTCTAATTCGACACTTTGTGCCTTTTGTGTTTTTAATTGGAAAAACAGCGATTTTAAAAATGCCATTAAATATTTTGCAGAGATATAATCTTGGTAAATGATGAAACAAGTATTTGAATGAGAAAAACGACAGCTAATACACTAAATATTTAGTTTTCTACTAAACCTAAAAGCTCTTTATTTTTTATTTCATCTGATTGCGTGTTTCCCACATAGCAACACTTCTTTTACAAGTATTGGCTTTTTATTGCTATTTAGAAACTTAAAAACATCTCTTCCCAAATGTCCTCACTTTTTTTATCTACGACGTTAAAGCTATTTATTTATTTATGAGCAGAAAGTGGATGTTTAGAGATTACCTGAAGCAGTTTTCTGTTACAAAATGTTGAAAGTATATTTATTAATCTACTTGTTCATGCCCCCTAAAGATCGGTGTGATGGCGATGGACCACCCTCAGCTACAGGCGTGTGTTTAGAAACTCACAGCTGGCGTCAGCATTTCTTTCTAAAAATGGTTCCTAATATAAGCTGCTTCTATTTCATTCCATTTATATCATGATGTTTTAAAAAATAGAAAAACACTTAAATGTTACAACTGGATAGCTTAGTCAAGCTTCATTATCAATGCCTTTTTGCTACAAGTACTGTTTGCACATGTAATGGTGCCAACAAGATCAGGGTGTCAGAGTGAGAAACGCTAAAATGTCAAAAGTATAAGTATGAACGTTGTTTTGTTTAATGACCTGAAATCAAGGGGCTGATTGTGATTGAACAGTTTTAGACCTTTGTCTAGAACAGCATGGTTAGCTGTGGCCCCAGTTATGACTTCGACACCTACAACAATACTATTCTTGTGATTCGATCGCAAAAAGAATCAAAACATTAAATTGGGTCTTTAAAGATATTTAGTGATCTTGTAAATGTCTTGTGCCGCTGGGTATAATTAAAATGTTTGCTCAGGACCAAGTTAAAATCTTATATTTCCACAGGCTGTGATGCTCCTCCTTGCTCTACTACTTTGCTAGATAACATTGAACTAGCCTGTAGAACTATGAAATCGAGGCTGTCAAAATGTGTTTGACTTTTAATCACATACATTGTTTTCAAATTTAAATATACTTTATAAAGAAATCTTGCAAATCTAGTGTACATTCAGGCCGTACCAACGTACACAAATTCAACATACTATGCAGTTGGAACGCCCTACATAGTCATTTTATGTAATACTTAGTGTGAATATATTAGAATATATATTTGTATGCATTTTGAACACAGCCTAAAGTCCAGACACTACAGGGGCACCATTTTTCAGGTGTATGTAGTTTAAGTTAGAAAATGGTGGTAATAATTGCTGAAATTCAGGTCACAAACTGATGGCTTGCAGTCTGTGGAAATGTTTGATTTAAATGTTGATCTCATGGCGGAGAAAGAAAAGACTCGTCAGGTCACAAAGTAGGCTTGACAACCCGCTACTGATGTGTGCAGAAACTGAAAATCTAAAACCTCACGGTCATCATCTTAATATGTGCTGTGGAGATGATGTTCACGTGAGAGGTCAGAGAGGAGACCCCTCATCCTAATGCTTCTTCTTTTACAGAGGAGAGCAATTGAGGTGATTTGACTTTTTCAGCACACCTTGCAGTGATTCTGTAGATCATGGCATGCACAGATAAAAATCACATGCACAATGTGTCACTTTGTTTTCTGGGTCAAATGTTCCTCTCCACACTCACATACAAACTCTGTTTAACTCCTCAGTCCTGCAGTGTACTGGTGTCCTCTTATGTTTACTGTACCTGGTTTTCTCCCAGGAACTCTTACTGTTAATGTTACTGGGTGCAGGACACCGGCTGGCCACCTTATTAAGACTCTGTTGGTTGTTGTGAGTGAACCTGCCTTATCACCTAACAGCAAAATGTATTTTTGCCCACAGGCAGCTTCCTCTTGTTTTTAGCTTTTACCCTCCAGTTTGTATTGTACTTTCTTATTGATCACATAGTTGTTACAGTTAGAGTGAAAACTCTTTGGATTTCACAAGCACATACTCTCTTGTCCTTGAATCACACACGAGTTAGAATAACCAGCAGCTCTTAGGATGGTGGCCATAAGGTGAAAAACACAAAGAAATCTATCCCTTTCAGTTATTTTGAAGGGGGTGCTACCTTAAGAATATACTTGTGTAAAAGTGTTTTGTCTTTTTCAATGTTTTTTTTTTTTTTTTTTAATGTCAAATATTTGTAAGAAACAAATCATACTTTTTTAATCTTAAATCATGCTGGAAAACGCACCATTATGTTGTACTTTTTATTTGAAAAGTAAATACATGTCGATCCTATTTTGAATCTGTGGTTTGGTGGAATCCTTTCTTGTGTTTTTGTTTGGACCTTTTCATAACGCATTTTTTACTCTTAACATTGCTTTCTGTTCATGTTAACACATTACCAGTGTATATATATATATATATATAAAATAACAAGATGAGACTTTAAATAGATGTAAAAACATGTATATTTAATGCAGTAAAGTTTGCTAAACCTTCTGGAAGAGAAATTGTGTAAACTAATTGTAACAACAAAATGTTTTATTCGTTGTTCCTAAATCTATTTAATAAGATGTTGCTGAATGAATGCAGTCTTTTGTCTTTTTTGCAATTAAACTCAAATATGTCAGTTCTGTGACGGTTAGAAATGCATTTTAAATACCAGTACAGCATTTCTATAGAATACAGTGTAACCCTGTTAAAGGACATGATTCAGGTAGCAAAGCCTTTTTTTATTTAGATACAAATATAGAAGAATGTACCCTTAAATAATACAAGTAATATTGTACAGTTGGAGATAAAAAATTATTGCAATTGGTGTGGTAATTTATTGTGATTTTTGTTTGGGAATATACACTTATAATTATGTACATTCAAGGTGGGGTAGGTAATTTTGGAGAAACCAGCTCGAGTGCGCTAAAATTTGAAAATACACAACCGGAACAAATCTGCCACTTCCTTACAGAGCCCCTCATCCAACACGCACGAACGCGCACATGACCAATGAGGGCACGAGATAAGTTTGTGCACAGATGCAAGGCTGACAGGCAGGTAGGCCATCCAGTTATTTTAGCCGGGCCGGCTAAAATGATTGGTGGTGCTTTCACTGATGACATTTTTTAATGGATTTTTTGTCAAAGCACTTAAGATATTCATTGCTATCGGGATGTTAAGAGCATTCCATGGAATATAACAAAAAGTGTATCTCGAGCCGGTTTCTCAAATGTACCTACCCCACCTTTAAAGGGAATTTTTCTTTAACAAATCTTGAGCTCCTCTCTTGTTAACGGCAGGCCCGGACTGGCCATCGGGAGGACCGGGAGGTTTCCCGATGGCCTGGCCTGTTAAGTGGCCTGCTGGCCTGAGGATTCTTTTTGTAATGTAGCCTATGTATAGTGAACGCAACGCTGCGCAAATGGGGGTCTTGCCTCACAGAGGGTGACTGGTTGTCTACATGATGTGGCCCGCCGACATGGCCACTTTCATACAGATCATACACTAAAGCCCTCGATTGGTCTCTGTGTGTCATTCAAGCTCGGGAGCGAGCGAGAGAGCGCGCGCACCGGTTACTGTATTGTTGCTGTTAGCATCTGGTGCTAGCTAGCTGCGCTAACCGATATAAGGAGCTGTTTCAACAACAAGGTGGAGGAGAGTCCTCTCCAGTCAGACTGAGAGACTGATAACTACAGCTCAGGTGAGGTAAAGGACTCTTGAGTGTTTAGATGGTTAACTTTGTCTAAGTTATCTCTGTGGGTCTCAAACGGTTTGGTCTCCATTTATGTAAACACATATTTCCATTTGAGGGGGGAGTGAGATTAGTTAAATAATATGCATGAATAATAAAAAAAAAAACGTTAACTAGGTGAAAAAAGGCAAGATAAACTTTTAAAACTTGTTGAGAGCTAAAACTAGTCTTTGCTGCTGCCTCAAAGAGGAGCAGGGGGAGAGGGGGGAGAGGGGGGAGACAGGAGAGGCTGATTCAGGAGCACAGACACACACAACTATAAATGACCAAAAACAAATAAATAAACAAGTTCAAATGTTTTTAAATATTGGATATGGTATGTTATTGGTTATGGCCATATTCTTATGATTATTTAAATGTATACAGTTCTGTTTCATATGGGTGTTTCCATATATCTAGTCTCTTTATTTCCCCCTCAAAATGCACCAGATTGATGCATTTAACTCCAACATTTAACACAAAAATCTTACCGGGGGAGCATGCCCCCGGATCCCCCTAGAGGATTTGAGGTCCACCCCCACTTAAAATATGTGCACATGGATAGGTTCCTAAATAGATTTGCACTTTTTTTTTAAATAGTGACCCATGTCCATATGTTTATTTTTGGGTAGTAGATTTAAACTATAGGGCTATCACTATGGGCAGCAACGCTGTAAATATTGACAAATAAATCCAGCAAAATGGCACAAAAACAATGGTTGGGTGTGGCTGGGTGTATAACTCCCGGCCTGATTTATTGTCCCAGTCCGGCCCTGGTTAACGGGGTGTTAAAACTAGTCCTTGGTCTGCAACTAAAGATTATTTATTGATGACTAAAGTCTATGAAACATGAAGCTGTGAAAATCACCCATCACAATTCCCCAGAAGCAAATTGAAGATAAAATGTTTTTTTTAACCATCACCATCATTGCTAATGGTCCAAGATCAAATATATTTGTATTTTATCAAAATGTTTGTCATTATTGTAGAAAACATGTATGGAATGTTAGCAATTACCAAAATATCGTCAGATGTTTAAAAAAACTCAAGCAAAAATGATGACTATCAAATTATGTTGAAACAAAATGTTGACTTACCTCAAAACTGAACATTTGTTTATTATTTTGAATAGGTCGCTTGAGTTTATCACGGGACATTTAAAATCAAATGTAAATGTCTCTACACTGCGCATGCTCGGTACTGCCATTGTTTTCATGTTCATTGATCTCCGCACGCTGCGCGAACAAAGGGGCGTCAGGGGCGCGATCTGATTGGCTCGTGGCCGGGCCCCACTAAGCTGCTGTGCGCGAGCTCCGCCACGGCAGATGGACCTCTCGCGCTCTCCTCCTGGATGCACGCGCCCCTGTGATTGTTTCCGACGACAGGAAAAGCGAACGAGTTAACCGAGGATTTCACCGCTAAAAGACAGGCCAGCCGTACCGAGTAGGAGAACCGGAGAACCTGCGTTTACGGAGTTAGGTAAGCCGAGATATGAGCTCTTAAAGTCGACAGGAATCACGCTGGAGCCTCGTTGTAGCGTGATGCAGTCTCTGCGTTGGTGTGTTTTTACAAGAAGAAGACTTTAAAATGTTTTCACGACATTAAATGAAAATTAGATAAATGTATTTATTGTATAAAATCACACTCGATAAATGTATGGAGTAAACAATCTCTAGTATGAGCTGTGTGGTGAATTGAAATCACATGCAGTAATGACAGGCATGCTCGGTAGCACTGATGTCTAAAATTAGGGCATAAAATGACAAAAAAACTCGGTTTTTGTTACATTTGGTTTCTAGCAGGGAGTGTGCATACAGCTGTGCGTTAGTAAAAACAGGTTACATAACAAGCAATAAGACTCCTCTCAGCACACATAAGGCTGGATAGACAGAAAGTGAATAATGTTCTGGCTTTATACAGCTTGTGAAACTATAACAGCCTTTCCATAAACAAAACCTCCATGAAGCTTGTAAGGCTCAGTGTTTGTTCAGACTGTTTCAGAGAGGTCTGCATTCAATCATACAGACAAGCTCCAGAATGACTGTTCAGTTGAATTAACAACCCTAAGTATTAAACAAGACTATAATTAGGATTCTTTGAAGCAGTGTGATACTAGACTGCATTAGTTTTAGGTAGGTGTTTGAAAAGGTAGTAACTGAGTGTTCTCTTAATCTTTAATGAAGTATCCAGTCAACAACGACTGCAATGGATAGCAAAAAGAGTCCATGGTGACATCTTACAGTGTCTTTTGTGTCCGACCAAACAGTACAAAACCTGAAGATATTTGATTTAGCATCATATAAGAATACAACACTATTACATTTTCACTAAAAGTTTGAACTATTCCTCATTAAAATGTCTAAAACCGTTAAATATATACTGTTAAGTTGCGTATTTACCAACCGTAATGTCCAATATCCCAAATGTTTCCAACAAATATCTAATTTTAAGCAAAATAACGTAGCATTTCATCTGTAATTGCCTGTAATGTCGACTTTTACCCTTTGTATACTTTACCTAACCAGGACAAGCTGACTGCAGTTGCAAACTCCCATGATCCCATGCTTCTTCAGAATGCCCCAAAACTGTCTTTCTTTATTGTTTGATCAAGAGACCCCTAGTTGCAGATAATTAAAGACTGAGTGTTAGAAATCTAGAACCAGTGAATATTTATCCATTTATGGCTTTGAAAAACACTGTAATAATGATTGATCAATCACCAAAACAGCTGCAGAAACACATCTTCTTCCAAATCGTTGCAGCTCTACAGTCAGCAAGGGGGCACAAATACTTTCTGCTTTATCGAGAAAATCTGGAAGCCATATTTAGATTCTTGCAGCGCTTTCTGACAACCTCAGTATTCCTAACGAGGAGCAGGAGACACACACACACACACACACACACTATTTTTGGCTCGATGCTGTGGACTAGTTTCTGGAGCTCAGATGTTTTTCGTGTTGCTATGACAATGCTGACAATAGTGAGGCAGAGCAATAGTAATGTGGAGGCTGGAGGCAGGGGAGGTGGTGGGTTTGAAAGCGGACAGGAGGAGGTTTAGAGCCATTCATTGTGCATTTCAGCCAGAGACTTTGACAGAGGAGGTTCAGAGGCAACAGGGCAAGAGGGCAGAAAACAAGCCTGCATGTGTGTCAATGAAAGAGAGAGGGAGAGAGTGGAGGGGGGGGGGCGGGGAAGTCAGGAAGTTGTGGTCATGAGTTTTAATAGCATGGTGGATGGCTTCTAGTCTTTCACAAGGAAATCACAAAGGACACGGAGCAGAGAACTGAATGGGAAAAACAGTCCAGACGACGGGAGAGGTCATCTTTCACAAATCTGGAAAAAATGGATAAATCAAGTGAGTGAGGTAAGGAACAACTGGACAGATGAAGGCAACAAGAGACGTAAAGATACGGAGAGAGGAGGAGATGGAGGCTGAGGATTGGCTGATGTTTTAATGAGGCACAGGGGGATTCAGGAAGTCAATGAGATCCACATTTGGAGAAGAAACAGGACTGGTTCAGCTGTCTGCGTCTGGCTGCATTTATTTAGCTGCTGTTGGTTTCTATCGAAAGGCAGAGATAGCGGTGGCTTTCTGCAGCCATTAAATGTCACACAGATCATCTCCACAGAGACCAGGTCCTCTGGTTATAACTTGAGAACAGCTATTACTGGTCTGAAACTGTTTTTTGTTATGCATCTAGGTAACCATACAAGTATTCAAAACAATTACATCTTCAGAAGACTCTAAACTTGAAGTAAAAATGTCAAGGCAGAACTTGCTTTTGCTGTTGCTTTATGAAAGCTGCATGCATTTTAAAATGTTTTTCTCTATTCAAGGGAATACATGGTATACATGTCTGCTATAGATGATATGACTTTTATTCTGCATCCTAACACCAACAGCAGATACTTAACATTATTTACGACAGGGAATGACACTCATCAGCTTTAAAGGTTAAATGTCTGATTTGATCTTTATATCCTGAGGTAACATCAGAGAGGGATCGCTGCTATCAGATGTCAGATAGTTCACTCTAAGTTCACGTTGGTCTTGTGACACAATTAAAACATTGTGTTGGTTTGACAGCCGGCCGCCCTTCTGTCTGACCGCTGGTTCAGACGCTACGAGCACAGCGCCCTTAACCACGGCGGCAGTATTAAAGACTAATGATTCCTTTGTGTCGCTGAACGGCGGAGCTTCTGAGCGCTTGACAGGGCTAATATAGGTGCTGAAATATTGATAGGCCTTGGCAGGGGGCTGGGCTGATTGGTGTTTAATAATTAATGAATCCACAATAACTGAACACATTTATTTCAGAGATTGACAGGCTCTTGATATCAGCACTGTGTGTTGAAAGCTGCTACATTACTCCACATGTCAGGTTTTAAATATCTTTGTTTACAATGTTTAGGCATGTGTGTGACCTAGATGAGGATATTGGCAGTTATGTCAATCAATCGATCGATTAATCAATCAATCAATGTTTATTTATATAGCCCAATATCACAAATGTTACATTTGTCTCAGTGGACTTTACAGTTTGTACAGAATATCAGTATGACAATACGACACCCTCTGTCCTTAGACCCTCACATCGTACAAGGAAAAACTTCCGGAGAAAACCCACAGTTTAAAGGGAAAAATGGGAGAAACCTCAAGGAGAGCAACAGAGGAGGGATCCCTCTCCCAGGACGGACAGACGTGCAATAGATGCCGTGTGTAAATTGAAAAGATAATACATTTGCAACATAGGTAGTCCAAATGTTTGGAAATGCATGTGTGTATAATAGGAAGATGAATCCACGAGGATGTCAACAATCCTCAGGAAGGACCGCAGAGACAGGTTCAGCCACGACTCGAAGTCCAGAACTCAGATCCAGGACTCAGGATCCAGGACTCAGAATGCAGGACTCAGGACCACAGCAACAGGATCAGCCACGACTCAGGATCCCGACATAGATATCAAAAATAAATGTGGGGGAAGCTGGGTTATTCGGAACATGAGAGTACACAGGTACAGACAGACAGAAGGAAGAAGCAAGATGTCCCCCGACAGTCTAAGCCTATAGCAGCAAAACTAGGGGCTGGATCTAATCAGCCCTAACTATAAGCTTTATCAAAAAGGAAGGTCTTAAGCGCACTCTTAAAAACGGATAGGGTGTCTTCCGCCCGAACACAAACAAGAAGCTCATTCCACAAATGTGGAGCTTGATAAGAACATAAAATGCTTATGTGTGTGTATTATACATTTTTCTACCTGTACTCCTGTGTGTGATAACTATTTGTTTGGCTGTGCATGATAAATCATCCGAGCTGCTTGAATTGAGGAAGTTTTGGGCCATGTCAGGGCGAGTGTCAGTTTCCTGTGTGACTGACTGAGCAAAGGAGGAAGCGATTTAACGGAAGGGGAGCACTTCCTTTAAACGCCCCCACTTCTTCCTCGTCTGATCACTGTCACAAGAAAAGACGTTTGAAGACAACACTAATCTGCTAATACCTGAGGATACGTAAAGAGACCACCTACCTAAACATTTCTCTCTCTCTCCAGCTCCCTCTCTCTGGTGAATCAACAACATCACACCGTCTTCACTACGGTAAGATCACTGTAGTCTTGTTACTGATATTTACACCACGTTTATTTGGCAGCATGTCTGGATATTTGATATGTTATAGAGGCACTCACTGTGTTCTGCACTTTAACTGTAACAACGATAATATTAAAACCAATGAGAACTTGATGTTCACTGCAATGGATTACACAGCATACACAAATGTCTCAAGACCCCTCATTTATTTGAATCCTATACCAGCATGAATGGAAACCATTGGTACCTTTGTACCAAAAGAACACAAATAATGCTGAATCAGGTCATGGTGATGTGGAAACAACATGGACGCTACAAAGCAGATGTGAAGCATTTCATTGCTCAGTGAGTCTAAACAACATCTTTTAGTCAATTATTTGCCAACACATTCTCCCTCTCATATTTCCTTATCTAGGAATATCTTGAATTTGAATAAACTCACTCAATGTTACTAATACTTTCAACACATTTAGTGTTTTATCTACATAAGCACTCATGTAAAGCCACTTTATAAAATATCTTAATATTAGATGTGATGATAAAGGCTTTGGGAGTGAGTCAAATGTTGCTTCAGGTACATTGTAAGTGCTTGAAGTGCTTTAAAAGACAGAGAGAAAACAATATTCGTTCCAGGAAAAAAGTCTAGACTCATTTTTTTGGGAGTTGGAGATGACTCCTCTTGGATGAGTCATGAAACAGCTTTTTTCATTCCTCCATTACTTTATGTCACAGATATACTGCACTTACTGTGTGCATGGAAACACATGTGATCGATAAATGCATATGATGGTTTGCTCTGGGATAAACGTTAAAGCAGCTGAAAGGATTTGGCGGCAGAGTGGCACAGCTGTCCTCCACCTGTTCCTCTCCTTCCGGTCCTGCCTCCTCAAAGACGGAAACACACTAAGACCAAGCAGAGAGGGAAGGGAAACTCTACAGGGCGATGGCTGAGTGCCATTTAAAACAGCTGCAAGTGTGCACAAGGAGAGAATCTCTTTCCTTTAGAACTGAAAGGAAAGAGAATATATATTGTAGGAAAGAGGAGGAAGAGAGCAGCTGTCTCCCTCCATCACACACCAAGTGTTTGGATTGTCTGCTGTTAACTATGAGTTGATCTGTCTCCTGAAGGAAATACGTTGACAGGAAACTAGATATGATCTGCTGTTATTGTTAATGTAAGGAGCTCCTCCTCCTCCTCCTCTGTGGGCTTCTTGTCTCTGTGTCTGTTGCTGGCTGCTGGTCATGAGGAGTCATGAGACTATCAGACGGATGAAAAAGTTTGAACTCATCTCTGTGTTGCTTCTTTGTCCCTCAGCTCCTCTCATGCTGGCTGACGATGGATAATACAGAGTGTGGGGTTCAGATCGGAGAGAACAAGTTCATCAGGAAGTAAGGATTAAATACCTTGTTGTTTCTGACCCTTGTATACAAACGCCTGCTTATAACAGTTTATTTTCCCCATTGTAAACCTATGTTAAAACATCCAATGTATGGTGTTGAATCCCATTGTGTGAAATAATGGTTTTACAGCCTGTTCATAATTTCATGTTAAAGCTAACTTGTGCATACTTTACTTTACACTTCTGACAATTTTTCGAACATGCATACATTTATTGGTTGATTTAAGGATGCAGTAAATACGTATTTGACCAGTAAGTACCAGCCCATATACTTTAGAATTACGAGACACCAACAAATATAATATTTTCAAGAAGATCAAAAAATAAAAACGTCTATGCGCATGTAAATCTATGTCTGTTTTTGTGAAGCACTTATATATTTACAGTTTGCTTGACATTTTAATTCAAATATACTTGACTTGTCAGTTAGAGTAAGTTTGCTTAAAAGACGCAGCATACTCCTTTAAACAGTATTTCCTCCTCAGTGATTCAACATCTCTGTCTCCAGGGCAACCGTCCTCTCACATCTGAAGACGTACAACCTCTACTATGAAGGACAAAATCTGCAGCTCAGACACAGAGAGGTGTGTGTGTGTGTGTGTGTGTGTGTGTGTGTGTGTGTGTGTGTGTGTGTGTGTGTGTGTGTGTGTGTGTGTGTGTGTGTGTGTGTGTGTGTGTGTGTGTGTGTGTGTGTGTGTGTGTGTGTGTGTGTGTGTGTGTGTGTGTGTGTGTGTGTGTGTGTGTGTGTGTGTGTGTGTGTGTGTGTGTGTGTGTGTGTGTGTGTGTGTGTGTGTGTGTGTGTGTGTGTGTTTTCATTCATTCTTATTTGAAGGTTTCATCATCTGCCTTTTCAACAGAGGCTCTCCTCACCGTCTGTCTCCCTCCTTCCTGTCTCCCTTTTTACTTGCTCTCTCTCATTCAGTGCAATTTAATATACCCTACCCATTATAGGCTGCATCCCAAAGGGGTAATAAACGTCCATTGTGTGTGTTTATTTATGTGTTTGCATTGACCACGGCTCCTCTCTCTTGAGCAGGAAGAGGGGGAGCTGATCGTCGAGGGCTTGCTGAATATCTTCTGGGGCCTGCGGCGACCAATCAGGCTTCAGATGCAGGATGACCACGAGCGGATCCGGCCCCCCCCCTCCTCCACGTCCTGGCACTCGGGTTGCAACCTGGACAGTCAGGGGTAAGAGGTCCAGACGGATCCCGTTACACCTCTCTGACCGGAAATGGTGATACACAGGGGGTCAGTGGGGCGGCAGATATAGATTATGTATCTGGTTTGTCTGATGGAAAATAAGGTTCAATAAGATGTATTGATTTCCTCAGTTTGCTAAATCCTCTTGGCAATGCTACAGAGACAAAGGTGAACCTTTTAACCCACGTCTCTGGCTCAGTTTTGGATTTTACCCTGAGCTTCCACAGATCAAGTTGTGTCATTAGACTTCAAGCCCCATTACTGCTCTGTAATCCCATTCATCTGAAGAAGCTATTCTTGTTGAGCTCACGGGCATGCAGCTGACATTTAAAATAACATCAACCCTTCATATGAAGGGACGTTAACCTTAAAGTAACTAAATCACAGTTAAATCAAAGCTGTTAAGTTGCTGTTTATTAGGGGCATTGATTACTGGCAACTAAAAGGTCCCACCATCAGGTTCAAGAAGAAACATACATACAAGCGCTTAAACAAAAAGTTTCATAGAGGCCAACAAACCCATACTTAATATGCTTGAACATAAATTCAAAAATAAATAAATATTACTTTTAATATCTAAGGAAATACCGTCACAAAATACTGTATCAACAAAGAGGAACAGCTGTCACAAGATGAAACTAAACGACAGGGATGTACCTTAACTGTGTTTAGGTAGTGTGTGTGTTTGTGAAAGACTGTGGAATTGGTGTTGACGTTATTGTCTCTCCCTTCTCCTTGTTGAAGTTCCCCCAACGGCACTGACAGTCAAGAGATGACGCAGCAGAGCCCCCCCACAGTGGAGGTGACAGCCCCCGACAGCCAACCAGAGAACGGCGGGGAGATGGAGGAAGAGGAGGCAGAAGGTGAGGGGCTTCATTTTATATCATTTCTATTTATATAACATTATAAATATGTAAACATATGGTATATCAATCTCATGTCTATGGGATACCGTGAACAAAATGAATCCCAGGCAAACTGTATTAATAAATCATTTTCATTTGTTTTATTTGGCTTGAAAGTCACGACAAAAAAAGACTGCATTACGCCATCAGAATAAATGAACTGAACCTTAACAAAGACACTGGACCAAATCTCTGATTAACCCTCAGCTGCTTTATTTAAACGTTGCTGTGGGGTGGAAACCTCTTGCATCTAAAATGGCATCTTTGCATGTGGAAGGAATTAAAGCCTATTTTCAGTCTGTCTAGTTGGATCAGAGGTTCTCAACACTTAAAGGAGTATACTGTATCATTTCATGGGAGTACAAGGTTTGCGTAAGACAGTGGTTCTCAAAGTGGCAAGAAGAACTGCAACCTTCGGGCTTGCCAGTTTAAGGTGCTCTGCAGTGATTCGGTCAGAGCCGCATGCTTTGTTATCAGCTAGCTGTGCAATTGCTCGATAAACCTCTTTAACTGTGATTCCCACTGTGTCACTTTTCACAACATTACCAACTTTGTAGGGGTCACTTTTAACACAATTAAGTATAGTAGAGTAATGTTGCCTCCACAACTCAGTTATGTTATCGGCTCCAGATACTCCCTCTATGGTACATGGTAACGATGTACTGGCCCTGTTCAGAGCTCTCACCTCCTTCCAGAAGCCAGTCACATCATTATGAAGGAGCTTTTCAGCCATAGAGTCCGCTCTCAATGTTTCTGTGTGTTTGTTGACATAACGAACTGCATATTTATGACAGTAAAAAATGAATAAAGTTTAAAAGGGGAGTGATTTGTAAAATATCCATAAAGAAATAGTAAATCTGTTTCCAGTTCTGTTTAATATGGGTGTTGAGAGAGGTATCCATAGATCTCTTCATTTTTGCAAGTGCACCAGATTGATGCTTTTAACTTCAATATTTAAAAATCTTCCCAGGGGAGCTTGCCCCCGGACCCCCCTATGTGAGGTCCACACACCACCTATAAAAATAGCACTTTACCCCTGCTTACACCTATATGTGGCCGTGAGCTGATTATCGAGCCTTCATTGTAACAGTCGCGGGTACACTGTGTATATGCGTGGGGATTGTTGCAGTAGAAAATTCCACGGTAGCGCCCGGTACATTAATGGGAAACCCTAAATGTTTGAGCACCCTCTATGAAACGTCAAGCTACCCCACAGCACCCCAAAATAAATCTCCGGCGCCGCCACTGAGCCTGACTATTTGTGTTGGGGGGGGCCCGACTTTTTTTTTTCTCCAAAGGGGGGGCCTGACAGAAACCACTGGCGTAAGACAATGGTGATACAAAATGTTACATTTCCCTCCAGTGAAGGTATTGTCCATTTATCATACATATTTTAGCAAGAACAAGTGTCTTCCAAACAGGAAAAGTCAGTGTAATAATGTCCTTATTCCAGTGGTAGACATAGAAGTACATTTACTCAAGTACTGTACCTAAGTGCAATAGTGAGGTACTTTCCTTTAGTTTTTCCATTTTATGCTAGTTTATTTCTAAATTGAATATTGTACTTTTAAATGTTATACATTTCATGCACATTATTAGTAACTAGTCTCTGTGCAGATTTAGATTATTAATTCTAACATAAATTCAAATACAAGCAGAATGAATTAAGTTGAATGAGTACTTTAAGTCAATTCTGATGTCCGTACTTTAGTTCCTTTAAGCAAATATTTCAATGAAGACTTTTTTATGTATTTATTTATAACAGTATGTTTACTTGTACTTATGTGAAATACATAAGTACTTTGCCCACCACTGCTTAATTTAACTGTAATTGAACTGTAATTGAACTGCGAGGGAGTGTGGTCGCCTTTCAATCGGGAGGTTGTGGGTTCGTTCCTAGCCATGTGGTCAACATGTCGATGTATCCTTGGGCACTTAACCCTCAGTTGCTCCCGAAGTGGCACGTTGCTCTGTGTGAAGGGGTGAATGATGACTTGTAGTAAGTAAGGCGCTTTGAGGGGTCGTAAAGACTGGATAAAGTGATTCAAAGGTTTTAATGTCATATGCTCATAAGTTACAGTGTAGAAATCTTGAAGTGCTCTATAAATACAGTCAATTTCCCATGAATTAGCACTGATTGACTGTAATACTGACTGTTGATTGGACAGAGGACAGTGAGAGCTCGGCTCAGCTCCTCAGGACGAAGAGCGACGCCGGCGTCTTGAGACGGGGTCAGCGGCGCTCGCCCAGCGACCAGAGGAAGATCAGACGCCATCGCTTCTCCATCAACGGACACTTCTACAACCATAAGGTGATCGAGCGGATCTCTATAGAGTCTGGGACATGTAGTAAACACTGGACAGATGTTTCAGGAAGTTTAAGCTGAGGCTGGGTTTGGCAAAATCTGTTCACAAATATACACACATGAAGTTATAAAGAAAGCTCAACATGTGTTGTTTTCTTTGCAGACATCGGTGTTCACTCCTTCTTTCGGCTCAGTGACTAATGTCCGGATCAACAGCTGCATGAGGACGCCTCAGGTGCTGCGAGTGCTCCTCAACAAGTTCAAAATTGAAAACAGCCCCGATGATTTTGCGCTCTACCTGGTCCATACAAGTGGAGGTGAGTGTCCATCATTCTGTTTATTTCTTGTTTGTCAAGGGAAAGAATTGTTAATGAGGAAAATACTTCAATGGTATTTGTTATGAGTAGTTGTTGTTGTTCTGTTGACTGATTTCTCTGTGTGTTGGTGTTTCAGAGCGTGCGAAGCTGAAGCGCACGGACCACCCTCTGGTGCTCAGAGTGATGCAGGGTCCCTGTGAGCAGGTCTGCAAGGTGTTCCTCATGGAGGCGGACCTCGGAGAAGAAGTCACATATGATGTAAATCCCAGCATTCATTGTAACAGAGATATGAACATGTCTTCCTCCTTTCCTCTGTGTTCCTGTTACCTCACATTAGTCTTCCTGTTTTTGTGCTTTGTCATTATCTTTCTGCTCCCATCCACCAGGTGGCGCAGTATATCAAATTTGAAATGCCGGTCCTGCAGAGTTTCATCACTAAACTGAAAGAGGAGGAGGACAGAGAAGTGCAGAAACTCAGGAGAAGGTACAAGAAAATATAATTTAGGTTTTTTCCTCTTAATCCAAATTACAACACGTGTATCGGATGTTATGAGCGAACTAAAAATGTAATCTACAGTTTCTCTCGATCACTGAGACACGCTTTAGGAAACTGGGATCCAGAAGACTTCTCTTGCAAATGTGTGAACACTTTTTCTTTGTTGTCACACATTTTCACGGCTTCTCTGTAACAGTAAACACAGATCTCTTAGAAATACCTACAACTCTATTGGTGTGTTGAACAAAAGCACAACAGCATTAAATCTGTTAACGGCTAATGAAGAAAGATTGCAGTACAAAAGCTATACCATAATTAATGTTACAAAGTTCAAATTCACCGGCATTAAAATACCTAAACACAAGAACAAAATGAAAAGAGCATCTAAAAACGGCAACAACAACAAAAAAACTGCATCTTTTGAGAAATAATACAATCATGTTGTAATTTGCTTGCTTGACTTTTTTGTCAAATACTATAACTATTTCTAAGTATCAACAAATGGCATTGACATAAAGCATAGGCGGCGCGTGAGGCTCAGGTTTGGGAAGGCTAAATAACTTTCTTTACCTGACGCTGCCCGCCTCCGCCGTCAATAGAAAATAGATCAACTCAGTGAAAGCACCGCCTGCTGACCAATCAAAGCTCAGTGTGCGGAGTTTAAATCTATCAAGTCATATTACAGGAAAAAGGAAATAAAATTTAAACTGCCGTATGCAGAGAAGACGCCGACGTGTCGCACTTATCATTCATATCACATCATCAATCAGATCATCGATCATATAATATCATCATATATCATATATTTCCTTATCTGAGTCAGCTTCTCGAGCCGTATCTGGCCGTGCAACACTTACATTGTCACATACTGTATGCAGAAGTATTATTTTAAGCAACACATTAGGTTGACGAAACACTCAACTCAAATGTAATAAAGTCAGATCCACTCGTGTTTTAGATGGGGCAGTATCATAAACCTGTTACGCTTTCAAACACTCGGTAGTTATTTTTTAACCAGTTGTTCTGTATTCTCCTTGCAGGTGCAACTCTGTGGCTTGTATCCTGGATTATATGTTTAAGTCATGGATATTTAAAGTTCATATTTGTCTAATATTAGTTTACTTTTCATTAATGAAGTATGATGTTGCGCTGTCAGTACACTTGTCCCTGTTTGTGATTGGTCAAATGTAGCTAACCCCGCCCCTTTCACGTGAACACGCTCTCAGCTGGAGAGAGAAACCCTGGCTTGATTTACCGAGTTGATAACCAGCGTCGTAGGACCGTTTAGCGAGATCGCGTTTGTTAGGGTTAGTTAAGATAACTCAAACATATCCAGGGTATGTTGAACTGGCTTCGTAGTACAGGGCACAGGTGGCTGCATAGCAGCGCTAATGTCAAAGACACAACATTATGCATTATATTTTTATTTTACCAGGATGCGACAAAAATATTTGGGAAGGCTTAGCCTTCCCTAGCCTACAGTACCCTGACATAAAGCATCAATTAAGATTAAACTGGTTCATATTGAAGGCTTTGGATGTCCATTGGGTTGTGGCTGATCTGAATAATATATTAATTTGAACACGTGTTGTTGTTTTTTGAGTCTAAGAACCTTTTGCTAATAATTGTGTCACACATCACCCTTATTTAATTATTCTCTCTCTTAATGTCTCTGCTTTTCCTTGCAGGTATACGTACCTGCGGTGTATTATTGAGAAGCAGCTGGGGTGTCTTCCAGAGGGCTCAACGTGTATGTGATCTCCTCTAACTGTCAGAGGACCACACCCCCCACCGTCTGTGACAACATGACAAGAAGTACGTGTTTCAGTGGTCACCCTGCTCCTCCTGAACTCCTGCCCTGCATGGAGTCCTGTTTTCTCTAAACCCTTCAATCAAATCAACCTACAGACAAAACTTTAACATGCTTTATTCATGTGCATGTTAAGTGGGACCATCTCAGCAATAGTCTTCTTTTATATTTGTCCTCACACACAGAAAGACATTCCTCTACTTCAGTGCTGTATTTTTCAAAATGAGACACCCATCTTCTGTTTACCCTTCAGATTGCAAGCTGATACCCACAATGTAAGCACAAACATCATGTAATTTGGCTCTAATAAGGGGCCTGTAAATGGTATTCTTAAAGCACAAATGTACAAACTAAATTAAACTGAAATAAAGTCCCTGTAGTGGTTTCAGCACAACGTCAGACCGCACAGTGTCTGTTGGTGTGAAACGACCAGCTGCGTGCCTTTCATGTTCCTCGCTCTTTGAGAACGTGGTAATGTTGTGATTGGAGGAATTGAACCGACCCTGAGCTGTGAAGTTCACTGCGGGGATTATTCAAGGTCGAGTCAACACGTAATCTGTTTATGTTGTGACCGTCAGTCTGTTGTTCTGCTGCAGACATTCAAACTGAAAGTTAAGGACATTTTATGATTGAGGTTAAAGAAAAAAAATAATAATTGAGATTGAAGTTTGGCTTTTTGTCAAATACTTTTTTGAATAGAGTTGAATGTTTCTTGTATATTTGTATAAAAACAGCTGGTTAGCTTAGCACACCACAAAGACTGGAAACAGCTTGCTCTGAAGGTAATAAAACCAGCACAGCTTGACAATTAACACCAGTGGGTAAATAATAAAAGTAGAAGAATAATTTGTTGATGCTGAAGCTGGGTAACCATTCTGTGTTGTTTGAGGCAAGGCAAGTTTATTTATATAGCACTTTTCAACACAAGGCAATTCAAAGTGCTTTACAAAAAACGAAAGACATTAAGAAAATGGCATTTAAAATCAGTCATTAAAAAGAAAAGATAATAAAATAAACATTAAAAGAAAAAATACATGGATAAAAGTTACAGTGCAGTTTAAGATGTGAATAGTTCAATTAAAAGCAGCGGCAAAAATAAAAGTCTTTAGTCTGGATTTAAAAGTAGTCAGAGTTGCAGCGGACCTGCAGTTTTCTGGGAGTTTGTTCCGGATATTTGGAGCATAATAACTGAATGCTGCTTTACCATGTTTAGTTCTGACTCTGGGGACAGAAAGCTGACCAGTCCCTGAAGACCTGAGAGATCTGGATGGTTCATAATTTAGCAGTAGGTCAGAAATGTAATTTGGGCCTAAACCATTCAGTGCTTTATAAACCAGCAGCAGTATTTTGAAATCTATTCTTTGACACACAGGAAGCCAGTGTAAAGACTTCAGAACTGGAGTGATGTGATCCACTTTCTTAGTGTTAGTGAGGACTCGAGCAGCAGCGTTCTGAATCAGCTGCAGCTTTCTAATAGATTTTTTAGTGAGACCTGTGAAGACACCATTGCAGTAGTCGAGTCTACTGAAGATAAAAGCATGGACAAGTTTTTCCAAATCCTGCTGTGACATTAGTCTTTTAATCCTAGATATGTTCTTTAGGTGATAGTAGGCTGATTTAGTAACTGTTTTAATGTAACTGTTGAAACTCAGGTCAGAGTCCATGACTACACCTAGATTTCTGGCTTTATCTGTTGTTTTGAACATTGCAGACTGAAGCTCAGCGCTAACTTTTATACGTTCTGCCTTGGCTCCAAAAACCATTACCTCAGTTTTATCTTTGTTTAATTGGAGAAAGTTCTGACACATCCAGTCATTGATTTGTTCAATGCACTTACTCAGTGTTTGAATTGGAGCATAGTCTCCTGGTGAAATTGTTACGTAAATGTGTGTGTCATCCGCATAGCTATGGTAACTTATTTTGTTGTTTTTCATTATCTGAGCCAGTGGTAGCATGTAGATGTTAAAGAGAAGAGGCCCCAAGATGGAGCCTTGAGGTACCCCACATGTCATATTTGTCAACTCAGATGTGTATTTACCTATAGAAACAAAGTTTTTTCTGTCCTTTAAGTAGGATTCAAACCAATTTAGAACTGTTTCCGAAAGTCCCACCCAGTTTTCCAGTCGGTCTAGTAATATGCTGTGGTCAACAGTGTCAAACGCAGCACTGAGATCTAATAATACTAACACTGAAGTTCTGCCACTGTCTGTGTTTAAGTGGATGTCATTAAAGACCTTTACAAGAGCAGTCTCAGTGCTGTGGTTTGGACGAAAGCCTGACTGGAATACATCGAAACAACTATTTAAATGCAAGAAATTACTCAACTGTTGAAAAACAACTTTTTCAATGATTTTACCTAGAAATGGCAGGTTTGATATGGGCCTGTAATTGTTCATTACTGAAGCATTTAGATTATTCTTTTTTAAGAGCGGTTTAATGACTGCAGTTTTCAGGGCCTGTGGAAAAATACCTGAGTGAAGAGATTTGTTTACTATATGAAGTAGATCTGAGGCCATGCAACGAAAAACATTTTTGAAAAATCCTGTTGGAATAATATCAAGGCAGCAGGAGGAGGATTTCTGAAGTTGAATAATGTCCTCTAGGTTTTTTTCATTAATCTAAGGGAATTGTGTCATGGTGTTTGAATTGATATTAGGTGGACATAGGGACAACACATTTGCTGTTCCTGATGCAGAGGCACTGACTGCTTGTCTGATTTTCTGAATTTTGTCAGTGAAAAAGGAGGCAAAATCATTGCACGCCCTGGTGGATAGAAATTCAGAGGCTACTGACACTGGGGGGTTAGTTAGTCTGTCAACGGTAGCAAACAAGGCACGTGTATTGTTTTTGTTTTTGGTAATGATGTCAGAGAAGAACGACTGTCGTGCGTTTTTCAATTCCAAATTATAAAGGCCAAGTCTCTCTTTATAGATTTCAAAGTGAACCTGGAGATTTGTTTTTCGCCACCTACGTTCAGCTTTTCGACACTCTCTTTTTTCTGCTCTCACGGTCATGGCCTTTCTCCATGGAGATATTTTCTTGCCAGACACTTCCTTTACCTTAGTTGGAGCAATGGCATCTATAACATTTTTAATTTTTGAATTAAAATGATCTACTAGCTCATTTACTGAGATGTTAGCAGGGGCAAGTGTGGAAGAAAAATTCTGAGTAAACATTTCCCTAGTATTTTCAGTTAAATATCGCTTTGTGGTTACCTCTTTTTGAACATTTTTGTGAACAGAAATAGAGCTCTCAAAGAACACACAGGAATGGTCAGAGAGTGCAACATCAGTCACCACAATCTTAGAGATATTCAGACCCTTTGAGATAATTAAGTCCAGAGTGTGCCCCTTATTGTGCGTGGGCTCCGTCACATGCTGAGTCAGTCCATAGCTATCAAGAACACAAAACAGTTCTTTTGCCCCTCTGTCCTGGGGGTTGTCAACATGGATGTTAAAATCACCAACAATGACTAGACGGTCAAAGTCAATACACACTATAGACAGCAGTTCAGTAAAGTCATCAAAAAAGCTTGCACAGTATTTGGGTGGTCTATAGATATTTACCAGTTTGAGAACCCACATTTAAAACAAAGGAGGATAATATTAATTATTTAGGGCTAGAAAAAACAATAAATCCTCTCGATCACTGAAGAGATATCGTGTGGTGAAAGTATGATCTCCTGTCAGCTCTGGGCCTTTCCGAGATAGAAATCCAGGCCACTATTCTGTAACACTCCTGGAGTATTCATACTGCTGTTTCCCCTCTAGATGCCACTAAAACTCACACACTGCCCCTTTAAAAGAAAAGTGGGGCCCCTGTTTGATTTCTGGACTGCAGTTCTCACTTGCAATCCTGCCTTATGAAAGATGACGAGAAGATGTCATGATGAGGTTTCAAAAAGCACAGGAACACACGTTTCAGCATCGCCTTCACACAATGACTCCTGGACAGGGTTGGACGGTCTGCACAAAATAATATTCATGGAGGTCATTTTCTTTCTTTTTTTTTGCATCCAACACAATGAAATCCCACAAGACTGTGAACTAGCCAATGATCATCTTTGTTGGAAGAATGTTTTTGCCTCCACATGTACAGCGCTTTGCTTCTGTCTGCCTGGTATCAGCATTGTTGAAAATCTTGCCGTACAATGCATTAAGTGTCATCAAGAGAGTGTGAGTGTCAGTGTGTGTGCGATTCTGAGAGCGTGCATGTTATATTTTTAGTGACTCTGAAGACTTGCCTGCTTTTGTATTGTCTTTTTACAAAACAATGATCTGTAAAATGAGAAGAACTCATGCCACTACTTGGAAAATGTAGTTTTGTTTCGTACAATGATTATTATTTAACAAATAAAGAGGTTTCCTTGAGAAAGCGTTTGTTGTGTGTATCAGTAATCTCTCCTCGTTCAGGTCTGTGGGTCTCCATATTAGGTTGAATAATTCAAACGAAAATTAATATAATCAAATATATTCTTGTATTATCCCACAATGAAAATGCATTATATTTCATGTTGTTCTATAATCACAGTATATTCAAAACACAATTGGTTTGTTAAATTGAGTTTAGAGAAGCCGATTATAGTTTCACTATATGGGTGTCACTGTTTAAAGAGGGGAGACGGTTGTCTTCACTCACAGTTGGATGTGCACAGGGGGGGGGGCCTGACGAGAGCTGCTTTCACACCAAGTACTTTGCCGTACTTAGTTCCCAGCACTTAGACCCCATTTACACGGGAACGTTTGCGTTTACGCACCGTATGCGTTATCAAAAAAGTCCGTTCACACGAGACTGCTGGAAACGCTGTAGTAAATATGCCGGGCCTGTAATTGGCGCTGCTGCCGCCACAAAATACAGCAGCGAAGAAGACCCTTGGGACCCGTTATCGTTTGCGGGGTCCGTTTCTATCGTTTTGTTACGGCCTCGTGTAAACGAAAGGGCTATACGCAAGAGAAACTATGCGGATACAACCCATCATCATTCCTAGCATTAGCATTTAGGTCCCCACCACATTATATCATATATTTTGTATTTAAAAGGTCTAATGCTTATTTTTTAAAAAGCTTGGTTTTAAATGTTTATACCCTCTACCATAAAACAACAATGTTATTTTGCCAGGATATTAAAAATTCTAAATAATTACTCTGATTTTTAGCACAAGTAGGCCAAATTGCTGTGTCCCCAATCATGTTTGCTCAACTTCTGTAACAGATACAAAAAGAAATCAAAGACATACAAACAAATTCTACATTTTTGTCAGTGTTGTATGACCCTTTTGCTAATATTCCTCACCAAATTGAAATTGTTGTTATTAATTCATTTGTATTGAAAATAAAGTATGTGTGTCCTGTTTGAATGTCCCCCCTGTTACTCTGATTTAAATCCCTCTGGACACGCCCCTTTACTATTCTACTATTTGTATGACTCAAGAAGAAGAAGGATACATTTTGAGTGGGAAATCATCTTCAAGAAGCAGAGTGAATGCGTTCTTCCTTCAACGTTTTTCTAATGTTTTAAAGAACTTAACTGTTGCGGTAAAGCATAAAATGTCCACCCTGTTATGCTCATTTTTTGTGGAACTGATCATTTGTTTTACATTTAGAAAATATGGTGAATATATCTATCAAATATATGTTTCTGTTGTCACCAAGTGCTAGCTAGCTTGATTATCATCACACATGTAGCAATAGCCACGTTTAGCATAAAATGTCCACCCTGTTACCGTCCACCCTGTTACTATTTTTCACAGTAACAGGGTGCACACACAGTAACTGGGGATGGTAAAGAAAATGTAAGCATAATATCCTGAGCTTGACCAAAATATT